ATCTCTGCAAAGAACTAGAAAACTACTGCAATGGGAACTCTCAGGAATCTATGAGGGGGACACTGGCTAAGACTCCTAGCAATGAGGGACAAAGAGCCTGAAATAGCCATCTCCTGAAAACAGGCAAGACTTCCAATGGAAGGACTGGACATCAAACCCACCACAAAACCTTCAAATGTAAGAGTGGTGAACCAATGACTGTTTCACCTTGAGACCCATATCATTAGGGAGCTCACCCCTGACACTTCCTGGAGGGCCAGAACTCAGAGGCTGGATAGCCCAGAGACCTAGGACAGAAGAAAACACCTAGGATAGAACCAAATCAAAAATAAAATGTCAATGAAATGATCCCTAATGATACTCTGCTATATTCATAGATTGGTGTCTAGCCCAACTGTCATCAGAGAGGCTTCATCCAGTAATTGATGGAAACAGATGCAGAGACCTACAGCCAAACATTAGGTGGGACTCAGGGAATACTGTAGAAGAGGGGGAGGAAGGTCTGTAGGAGTGAAAGGGGTCAACAACACCTCAAAAAACCTACAGAATCAACTAACCAAGGCATATAGGGCCTCACAAGAACCATCAGGGAGCTTGCATAGAACTGACCTAGGTCCTCTGCCATATATGTTACAATTATGTAACTTGGTGTTCTTTTGGGAGTCCTAAAAGCATGAGTAGGGGCTATCACTGACTCTGTTGCCTGCTTTTAGGATCCTTTCCTCCTACTGGGCTGCCTTATCTAGCCTTAATAGGATATGAGGTGCCTAGTCCCACTGCAACTTGAAATACCATGTCTGGTTGATATCCATGGAAGGTTTTCCCTTTTCTGAAGAAAAATGGAGGAGTGGATGAGTCGTCGTGGGGAGTGAGATTCCAGGGACTTGGGAGAGGAGGACGTAGGGGAAACTGTGGCTTGGATATATAAATAAATAAATGGACCTCATAAAAGTGAACAGCTTCTACATGGCATCTAATACTGTCATGCAAAATGGCAGACAACAGAATAGGAAAATATTTTTACCAATTACACATCTGATAGAGGGATCATATCCAAAGTATAAAAAAAAAACTAGATATCAAGAAGACAATTAACCCAATTAAAAATGAAGTACAGGTCTAAAGAGAGAATTTTTAGAAGAGTAAACTCAAATGGTTGAGAAACACTTAAAGAAATGTTTAACATACTTAGCCATCAGGAAAATGCAAACCAAAACTACTTTCAGACTCCATCTTACACCCATCAGAATAGCTAAGATCAATAAAATAAATGACAGCTCATGCTGTAAAGGATGTGGAGCAAGGGGAACACTTCTCCATTGATGGTAGGAATGCAAACTTGTACAATCACCATGGAAACCAATATGGTGGTTCCTCAGAAAGTTGGGAATTGATCTACTTCAAGATCCAGCTATACCACTCCTGGGCTTCATACCACCACAAGGATACTTGCTCAACCATGTTCATTGTTGCTCTCTTAGTAATAGCCAGAAACTGGAAACAACCTAGACATCCCTCAACAGATGAATAAATAAAGAAAATACGGTACATTTGCAGTTAAAAAAATGAAATCATGAAATACACAGGTAAATGGATAGAATTAGAAAAAATTCATCCTGAGTGAGGTATCCCAGACCCAGAAACACAAATATGGTATATGTTCACTTATATGTAGATAATAGCCATTACATCAATGATAAACAAACTACAATCCATAGGACCAAGAGGTTAGGTACAAAGTAGGTGACTAGGGGATACAGATAAATCTTATTAGGAAAGGTAAATAGTTTAGATAGTTATGGATGGAAGGGTGGGCTGGAATGGGAGGATAAAGTTAGGAGCAGGAGGGGAGGGGGATGAGGGAGGGAATATTGGGAGAGATGGCTAAAAATAAGTGGCATTTGAGGGGTCATAAGGAAACCTAATACAGTAGAAGCTTCCTAACATATATGTATATATGAAGGTGATCTAAATGAATTTGTCAAATAATGGAGTAGACAAGAGTCCCAAATGGACATCTCTGGTCACCCAAATGAAGCTTCCAATACTGGAAATGGGTTACATCAAATTGAGCTGTGGGCCAAAGGAGTCCCATGGCTCCTTTGAAATAGAGGTAGTCATCAAAAGCCTCCCTACCAAAAAAAGCCCAGGGCCAGATGGTTTCAGTGCAAAACTCTATCAGAGATTCCAAGAGGAGCTAATACCAATACTCCTCAAATTGTTCCACACAATAGAAACAAAACATTCATTACAAAACTGTTTTTACTAGGCCACAATTACCTTGGTACCCAAGCCACACAAAGACACAACCAAGAAAGAAAACTACAGACCAATATCCTTTATGAACATCGACACAAAAAAACTCAATAAAATACTGGCAAATCGAATCCAAGAACACATCAGAGAAACCATCCACCATGACCAAGTAGGCTTCATCACTGGTTTGCAGGGATGGTTCAACATACGAAAATCTATCAATGTGATCCACCATATAAACAAACTGAAAAAGAAAATCCACATGATCATCTCCGAAAAAGCCTTTGACAAAATTCAACACCCTTTCATGATAAAGGTCTTGGAGAGATCAGGGATAATAGGAACATACCTAAACATAATAAAAGCAATATTCAGTAAACCAACAGCCAACATCAAAATTAATAGAGAGAAACTTAAGGCGATTCCTCTAAAATCAGGAACAAGACAAGGCTACCCACTCTCTCCATATCTCTTCAATATTATACTTGAAGTTCTAGCTAAAGCAATAATACAACAAAAGGAGATCTTGGGGATACAAATTGGAAAGGAAGGAGTCAAACTGTCACTATTTGCAGATGATATGATAGTTTACATAAGTGACTCAAAAAACTCTACCAGGGAACTCCTACAGCTCATAAACACCTTCAACAAACTAGCAGGATACAAGATAACACTTACCAAACAAGTGAAAGACCAATATAGCAAGAACTTTGTGTCTTTAAAGAAAGAAATTAAAGAAGATACTAGAAAATGGAAAAATCTCCCATGTTCTTGGATAGGTAGGATCAACATAGTAAAAATGGCAATTTTGCCAAAAGCAATCTACAGATTCAATGCAATCCCCATCAAAATCCCAGCACAATTCTTCACTGACCTTGAAAGGATAATAATCAACATTATATGGAAAAACAAAAGAGCCAGAATAGCCAAAACAACCCTGTACAATAAAGGAACTTCAGGAGGCATCACCATCCCTGACTTCAAGTTCTACTATACAGCTATATTTCTGAAAACAGCCTGGTATTGGTACAAAATTGGACAGGTAGACCAATGTAATCAAATTGAAAATCGTGATATTAACCCACACACCTATGAACACCTGATTTTTGACAAAACAGCTAAAAGTATACAATGGGAAGAGGAAAGCATCTTCAACAAATGGAGCTGGCACACTGGATGATTGAGTCAGGGGAGGAATAAGTTAGAAATGTGAGAGAGAGAGGGAGAGAGAGAGAGAGACCGTAAAAGAGGGTGCCATTATAGGTTTGAAGAGAAAACTGAATCTAGAGAAATGTCCAGAGACCTACAAGGACGACCCCAACTACCAATTTGTACAACAGTGGAAAGGCTACCATAAATGTCCTTCCCTGATAATGAGATTGATGACTAACTTATCCACCATCATAGAGCCCTCATATAGTATCTGAAGGAAACAGAAGCAGACACCCACAGCTAAACACTGAGCTGAACTGGAATCCAGATGCAGAGAGGGAGGACAAGACCAGGCTACAGAAATCCACAGAGACAGCTGACTTGAACAAGGAGGAGCTAATGGGCCCCCAGACTGATAGCTAGGAATCCAGCATTGGACTGACTCAGACCCCCTGAACATGGGTCTCAGTTAGGGCAGCCTAAGGGAACTCTGACAGTGGAACCAGGATGTATCCCTGGTGCCCAAAATGACTTTGGGAACACATTCCCCACGGAGGGATACTTCCTTATCCTAGAGGCATGAGGGAGGGCCTAGTCTCTACTCCAAATGACTTGAAAGATTTAGATGATCCCTCCAGGAAAACATCACCCTACATGTACAGTTTGGGGGTATGGGATGGGAAGTTGATCGGGGGACATGGGAGGTTGGAAGCAAGGGAGCGAGGGACAGAGAGGGAACTGGGATCAATATGTAAAATAAGAAAAATAAATAATTTTAAAAACTGAAAATCTATAACTGAAATATGCTTCCTAAATACACTTCCAAAGTTTAGTAATAACGGACTCTAGGGATAACTGCATTCCATTTCTTTTTTAAAAGGATGATTAAAGTAAAGAGCTACATTAAAATTTAAATATACTAATATCAGCAGATGTTGGTGGAGCATGCCTTAAATCCCAGCACTCAGGAGGCAGAGGCAGGTAGTTCTCTGTGAGATCGAGGCCAGCCTGGTCTACAGAGCTAGTTCCAGGACAGGCTCCAAAGTAATTCAGAGAAACCCTGTCTCAAAAAGCCAAATATATACATATATTAGTATCTTTGTATTCAAAAAGTACTTTTCAAGCAGTAACAGGGTCATGTTATTATATTTGTTGATCTTGGTCTGTTCTGGAAGCATAGACCTCCCCCCTTTACGGCTGTACCACTGAGATTTCTATCACTCAAACCTAAGCCACAAGCCCCATGTGTCTTAATTTACTCAGAAAAGGTTATGCTTGAAAGAAGCCTTTGAAACCATCAAATCCAACCCCTCATGGGAGAGACAAAAATACCAGAGCCCAGAGAAAGCAAGCATTTTCCCATGAGTTATACATCTAGCCTGAATGGCTAAGTCTCTTTGCAATTCTGCCAGTGCTACATTTACTAACTCATTGTATTGTGGTGCTGAAAGGTTTCATGGTAAGTCATCAGGTAAGATTTGGGAGTGGGTCTTTCTTATAGCCCATATTTGGGCAGTATATCAAATGCTCTAAACACTTTTGCCCTATGGAGTGGCTGAGCTATCTGGGATAGGAGGCTCCTAGGACCTCACCTCTTCCTCTCGGAGCTTCTGCTTCCTCTTCTCTTCCACCGCAGCCCTCTTCTGATCCTCCCGCTGACGCTGCTCCTCAAGTTTTCTCCATCGCTCCTCAATTTGTTTTTCATACTGAAGTTTGGCTCTTTTCTGTTTCTCTAAGATCTGCTGTTCCCGGGCAGCTGAGGAATAGAAGCATAATTGCCATTCCAAGAGCTCCTCATGCCAGGTGGATTAAGACCATGAACTCAGAAACAATAATTTGGTGAAATCCTATGATACAGTAATTAAGATAAATTGTTCTCTTATCTCTACCACTAGTTAAGTGGTGTGGGGCACATCAGCTATGTTATCTCTCTGCCTTGGTTTCCTTCTCAGTTACACAGAGACTGCAATAACAATTTGGTGAAGAAACTGATACAATTCATGTAAAACACAAAGTACCGTTTCCACACATAGGAGTTACTGCTATTATTGCTATCATTAAACCAAATTTGTATAAAACAGCTAAGTCATACAGTGGCTATAATAATGATAGTTTAAAGGTGCATTCAATCAAAAGCATGTTATAAGAGCATGCACAGTGTGATCTGGGCAAAGCATTAAAATAACAAAGCCTGGTTTGCTCATCAAGCCATTTACTAAGAATCCCTTACCTCTACTTAGCCAGACTAGGGAAAGTTTTCTTGGACGAAGTGGTGCCTGAACTGCCCAGGAGGCCTATCCAAAAGCTTCTTGTTCACCTTAACTCAATGGGAAAAATTATTGTCTACCTGCCTCACATCACTCCTTGGTGGTATCTACAGCCAAAAAGACATTGAAAAATAAAAGCCTTTCTCTACTGGGCATACTGTTGTAATACAGAAAATGAGTGTTTTCTCAATTCTCTTGAGGGTGGCCCTTCTAGATACAAAAAGAGAAAGTCAGCACACATCATAGATACCTTAGGGCATCAGGTCTTTCCTCAGATCAGAGAAAGCAATTATTTTTGTTGTGTTTAGGTGTATGGGTGTTTTATCTGCATGTATGAATGTGCATCATGTGTATGCAGTGCTGACCAGACCAGAAGAGGGTATTCAACTCCCAGGACTGGAGTTACAGACAGTTGTGAGCTGACATGTGTGTGCTGAGAATCAAGTCTATGTTCTCTAAAAATGCAGTCAGTGCTTTTAACCACTGAGCTATCTCTCCAGCCCCAGTGGAAACAATTATTGTCCACAGCTCCAAGAATACAGCCTAGGACATAGTGGAGGTCCCATATTTGGTGAGTAAAGGAACTGTTCAGAGTTTGTGTTTGTGTCCATTGCCAGTCACTGTGTGAGTTTACTCTCAATTCTCTAGACTTGTCTATCAAGTCTTAGTTCTCTTCCCACTCATTCACAGATTTCTAAGGGCCTTAGAAATGACACTACCTCATTTCTACTTTCTTGGACTTCAACAGCCAAAGTACACAACTTACCCAGACACTTTTCTCTTTCTTCTCGTCTCTCTTTGGCCAATCTTTGTCTCTCATCTGATTTTAAAAATCCATCCATGCCTATAAGATAGAAAACATGATTTTCAGAGTTTTATTGGTATATACTGAGCACGAGAGATGGTTGAGTATATGTCTCTGGGCATGGATATACACGTGTATTATCCACCACCGCAAACTCATTTCAAGGAACTCACACATTCTCAGCCAGCCCCAACAACTCAGGGGCAGCAGTTATGGCTCCCATATGTGTTTGCCAATGAGTGATGCAGTGGTGCTGACAGCAACACTTTAGTTGATTCTTGTCCCAAGACCTGACCCTAGAGAGGTCAGAAAAGCAATTACGTGGCACAGAAATCTAACAGTGTGCAGGGAAGAACACCAGTCCTACTCTACCCTGGCTTGTAGATCCAGGGCATAATAACTTATGTGAGAGTAAAAGCCAAAAGGTAGACATGCTTTTAGATATCAATTATTATGCAGATAGAAAATAATAAGTCAATTGTGGTAAATACATATAAGCACCTCAGGAAAGTATTGTAAAATGTAACCCTCAAATTTAATGCTAGTTCTTCCAAGTTTGCTTTGTTGTCAATCTTAGCATCTCAGAACTAAAAAAAAAAGAATATAATATGCTATGTATTTACCATGCAACTATCTGCAACAAATACAATTAAACAAATAACAGCTACCTAAAAAATGTCAAGGAAATATGTCTGCATCTCCATATCCCCATCTCATTCCCTACAAGGCCCTAAAGGACTTTCTAAACTCTAGATTAAATAAATAAGGACTTTAAAGTTTAGAATCATTTATTGTAATTGGTTACTATTAGTTGTTCATGAAAATTAGCTATATACAGCCTAAGCATACCACTCTGGAGAAACATGCTTTATTTTTAATGCAACCACATCCCCAGTGCCTGGGCCCTTCTTCTTTGGGAATATCATACCAGCTTCATAGTATGTTTTCCTACCATAGCAATCTGCATTCCTTCTAGTGACTCTTCTATTTGCTATCCAAGACAACTTCAGAGAAGCCAGGCCTACAGTGTAAGTATTGGAGATACAGATGGGGAATGATATGACAAATTAAATTATCATGATTTCCAACATATGTTTGTTTTTGCAGTGTAAATTATGTATTAGGGATATTGAAGCTCAAGAGACAAGTACTAGAAAAAAATAAGCCTTGACTACAAGAGACATTATCCATGTTTTTTTTAGTTTATTCTTAATTATTATGAGACTGCCAACAATATCAGTATCATCATAGATTTAAAGACCAACTCCAACTCATTCCAGGCTCCCCAAAACTCTTTCCAATTTGACCTCAGCACCCCCACACACACATCTTCTAGCTTACATTGCCTTCTTCTTATTCTACCACTGTCATCTTTTTAACCTCTCCCACCTTTAAGACTCCAAGATCCATGATGACCCATGTTCCCACACAATTGGTAAAACCCCTTACTTCTCCTACTTTCCTGTACATATCTCTGTAACTTGGCTTCCATAGAAACTTCAGAGCTATGCACAAAACTGGACAGCTCTAGGCTTGCTCAGTTCCAACTACTATCTCTTACTCAGTGTCTACAAGACACATACATACACAGTCCTGTAAGGAAGCCATGAAGTTATTGTTAGAGGAATAAGAAGAAAACATCAGACCTTATCTTAAAAACACTTTTAAGTTTTAGTCTCTACCTCAAGTCTCTACTGGCATGAATTTGTTCAGTCTGATAATCTATATATTTTTTAAAAATCCCAGGATGCCTGGTCAGATGCAGCCACCAGCACCCATACCAAAACTGGATTTAAGCCTTGATCAGTACACCACACCACAATCTTGATGATAACAAGTCTGCTTTACATCTGAGGAAAGTCTGAGGACTTATCAAAATGTTCTTCAATTAGAAAAAATTAAACAAAAACCGGAAAGAAAAAAAGGGTCAAAAGTTGAAACTGCCCACAAAGCCTTGAGGCTTTACAAGGCTTTTCCATGGACATGAAAGGTCTCAGGCTGCCCTCTTGTGGGCATATGTAAGAGACACAAATTTCTCTTGCAGAAAATGTTTATGGTCAGGGTCATGGGTTCATCATAATAGAGGTGACAATCAAGCAGTTACGATGGATCAAATGCAGCCAGGCATGGTGGTAGCAAAAGTCTTTAATCTCAGTCCTTAAGCAATAAGGCATGAGTATTATTTATTTCCTCTCTCAGACAGATGGTTTGGAAATACCGTAGAAGCTGGGTGGAGAATGGGTGAAAGCCATAGGACTCTGGGAACAATTTAGGTTCCTACTGGCTTAAGCAAACAATTCAACTTTGCCTCACCAATAACAAACAGCCTAACATGGGTAACCTGGAATCTCTGTTGCTATCCATTTAGCAGCCATGAACTACACATAACTATTTAAATATAAAGTAATCTAAATTAAAGTTTAGGTTGTGAGAATAACTTATTGGTAAAATGATTGCCTACTATGTGCAAGGCCCTATGTTCAGTCTCTGATACCCAAAACAAACAAATATGAGTTCAGTTCCTAGGTCACACAACACACATTAGGCACTACATAGGTATATTGGATTGCTACTCTACTGTAATGGTAGAGATGCCTGGTAGCTCATTCCTATAATTCTCTTCCCTCAAGTTTAGTGACTCTGGGTCAGATGAGGAAAAGAACATATGAGTTCAATCAGGATTAAAGTTTCACTGGATGTGGTGGTTTGTGGAAGAATGGCTCCCATAGCTTCATATATTTGAATGTTTGGTTCTAGTTATTGGAACTGTTTGTGGAGGATTAGGTGTGGACTTGATGGAGAAGGTGTGGCTTTGCTGGAGGTTTGCCACTGGGAGTGGGCTTTGAGGTTTCAAAATCCCACACTAGGCCCAGTCTGTCTGTCTGCCTGCCTGTCTGCCTGCCTACTTGTCTTTCTCTCCCTCCCTCCTGCCTGTGTATCAGGACATAATGCTCTCAGCTACTGTTCTAGTGTTGTGCTTGACTGCCATGATGATCATGCACTAACCCTCTGAAACTGTAAGCAACTTCCCAATTACTTTATGAGTTGCCTTGGTCATGATGTCTCTTCATAGCAACAGAACAGTAACTATGACGCTGGGTAAGACACCCATGGTCCCAACCCCCTTATTCCTCACAGCATATGTCTCTCGTATTTAATGCTACAAACATTTCAAGAACAACCCATTTAAAGAAAGGATAAATAACTCATCTTCAACTTCTACCTTGTGACTACTGACAAACCTCCAGAGGCTGACAATAGACCCCTAGCCGCAGAAAACAGATGTAATGTCCATGGACTTGATCAGATACTACTAATAACAAAAGAGCTAAATTTAAGCCAAAGGAATCATGGAAAATTATCATGAATATCCATGCTTTCTAAAAAAAAGTTATATACTCAAGGATTTAATTCCAATCGTCTTTCTGAATCACCTAAAACCCTGAAGTTTGTTTTCGTATCCAATTATCATTTATCCTACTGTGCTTTACATGTGAACATTTATTTTCTCTTTTTTAAGAAAAAGAGACACAATTTTATCCTGTAAGTCACCATGAGAACAGGTGGCTAACAGAACTGTGCTCATCAGAGGTTATGAGAGCAGAGGCATTAGGAAGTAGACAGCTATAATTTACATGGGGAAGAGGGTCCTTGGAATGATAGATAGGTTCTCTATTTCGACTGCATTAATATCAACACATTAGTTGTGACATCATATTATATTTTGGAGAGCTCACTGTAATATTTCCCATAACTGCATGTAAGTCAACTATGACCTCAAAATAGAGAAATTTGATTATAAAGAAAATAAATCTGGTTCAAGGACAAAGCCCTGAGATAGACCTAACCCAAAAAGGTAGAGGAGGATGCCTTAGATGAAATAACACTTGCCAAGGCAACTGCGTTCAGATAAATGTGTGCCTCTGAAACACAATTTATCAATACAAAATAAAAATTAAAAAGTGAAACTGAGCAAGCAAACTTATATATAATGTATAATCCCACACTTCACTGATATACTATTAGGTGGAATAGCTTCCTGTTATCTTTGAGCTACAGCAACACATTCTTAAAAGTACATTTTGAAATTAATTTTATTAGCATGAAGCACTCTACTAGAATATTAATGAGTTAATAATGGTCAATTATTCATGATACTAGTAAGAATTATTATTGAAATTCAAAGTTTCTAAGGGAGGCCATCTGCTTTGTTTTAAAAACTTAATTGAACAAGTGAATTTTATTATTTATTTTGGCTTTTTGAGGAAGGATCTTGCTATGTAGCCAAGACTGGCCTCAGTCAAAATCATGGCATTCCTCCTACTTCAGCATTTAGGTTACTGGGATTACAGGCATATGTATTACCACATCTGGCTGTGAACAAGAGTATTTTTAAAATAACCTTAAATTACATTCAGTCTGTGCAATGAAGCTTCAATGTCCAGGGGAAAGGAATATTGCTTATAAAAGAGGAAGTACAGTGAAAGCCACCACTTGATGTGGAGAGTTCTTCATGAAAGGGTCAGGTAACATTCCCCTACATATGGAATTGGGGTGGGGGGATAGGAGGGGAGGGTGGTTAGAGTGCATGTGAGAGGGCAAAAGGGAGGGAAAGAGGGAGGGAGGGAGGGAAGGAGGGAGGAAGGGAGGGAGGGAGAGGGAACTGGGATCGACATGTAAAATAATAAATTAAATTTTAAAAAAATGCTTTGACTCCAAAATTTAAGTTCAAGGACAAGTTACTGGGGAAAAGGATTTCTATTTTTGTTTCCACAGAAAATGAAAAGCTGTGGATTCCTTCCAGACTAATGTGGTTTGATCATGCCAGACCACCTGAAACTGAGTACGAGGTGATCCTACTTTCAAAACAGCTGGACAAAACAGCCTTACAGACTACAGCCAGGATTTCTGAATCTTCTTCGAATCCCCCATGACAGCGCCCCTTACCAGCAGGAAGTAGTTTGGAAAGAACAACGCCCAAATTCCCAAATATTGTGTATAAATGTTTGTTTTCATTTAATTGGATTTGTTATATAAAATTAAATAAAATAAAGTTCAAAAAAAAA